ATATATATAATGTATATATATATGCAAATGCAACCCAAAGGAAAAATCTAACGATAGTTTGCTAACAGGGAGTGAATTCAGATCTAGCCTGTTGAGTTGACATGAGCTCCTCCCAAGCAAGGATTCTGAACTTTCCACACAGTTAGTCACGTATCATTTTCAAAAGGAGTAATGTAATCCATTTGCTCTCTTTGAAATCCATTTCCTGAAATAAAAGTTTATCATTTTCTAAATCATCTATTTGAAGACTGAGTGGGAAAAAAAAATCTCAGATTTCGAACTTTAGGGAATGAGTTTGTAAAGTGTAATTCATACTCTGATTTAACATTCATAGTTTGAATAAAAGCTGCAAATGGAAGTTATTGTGCCCTACTGCAATGAAAAGAAGATACAATGTTTCAAAAGCAGAATTTTTCAAATATATTAAGACTACTTACTTTATTAAAAAACCCACTATGCAAGAATTTAGAATACCTATATTTGTGAACAGCTGGCTTTCATTATGAAATTGCATACAACTAAATGTCACTGCCTATTAAAGGTTTAAACCTGAATTCTGGTTTGCACATTGCAATGTGGATTGTAAGACCTGACACTGTCATCTTACTACAAAAGATGTAAAAACAGAAAGAGCAATGATATTTCTAATGTTCCAATCAAAAGCCTAATAAATTATAAGTTAAAATATATAAAATGTAAATCAAATGTATAATAAAGCACATTTTAATATACATTAAATGTTTTAGACAGTAAATATTTAATTTTAATCTCAAGTTGATGATATAATACCTACTTGCATGCATATTTTTGTTGCAACACACCTGTAAAAACAGAGAAAGATTGAGCACATTTGTGACCATTGTTTTTTTTTTTTTTAACTCAAACAGTTTCACTTGTTCATTTCTACCTTCCTGGACCTGGTTATTACATCAGTGTATGATCTGTGCTCTAGGTTATGAATTCTTCCTGATCAGGCCATGTATAATTCAACTGGCTCCCCCCATTTGTTCATTATGACCTAGGAATGATGTAACAAATACTTATCGGTCACCTGCTGTCTGCCTAGCACTGTAAGCTACTGCTGTATCAGCAGAAATGGATAAGGCAGTTCCACCCAGGAGGTAGAAGCACTCTTCCTTGGCGCAAACAGAGCACAGGTTCAGTAAATGCTGGGATTGAATTGGCTGGCTGTCTTCATTCTGCAATGGACAAAAAGAAAAAGAAGTTTGAGTTGCAAAATCTACAGAATTCAAAGTGGTTCATTACAATGTAGAGGTAATATAACAGCTTATAAAGTTCATCTCCAAGAGAAAAATTATTCGTGCCTGCAGGGTTGGATTTGTGAAAGCATCTGGCACAGTGAGAACCATACAGTTTTGCATCTAGGCTGACTAAAATTTAAGTTCCCAGAGCTAATTAATAAGTTGGCATCTAAGACACATTCACCTGCACTAGGTTCAAACCCTTTCCAAGAGCTGCAGCAGTTAAGTAAGCTTTCCCCAGGAGAGGAGGTCAAAACATGTATCTAAACAAATATACCTTTGTCTTTGCTGACATCTACATCTATTTTTGTCTTTGTTGTCACATTTTGGAACCAAAGAATTGCACTTTTAAGCCTGCAGCCTTCAGCTCAACAGTTAAAGCAGTGAACAGCTCTTAGTGTTTTCCTCATATATAAACCTGTTTTTCAGTTAATTCACTTTAAGACATAGCTAGACTGACATCCTAGGGTAGAGTGGTAGCTCTTTGCTAACAGTGGAATTGTTACGGCTATGAAGGCATAGATGAAAATTAGAGACCACAGAGAAGGTTCTGAGGTTGAAATTCTAATCACACAAAATAGCTATACACATCCTTAAAATCTTATTTTAAGAAATACTGTAATGTTTTACTATTAAGTACCCCAGAACCACCCAGTTAGTCTTTGATTTTTCTAGAACTTTGCTAACATTGTCCATGTCCACTCTGCTAATCCACATGAATTCAGAATCTGCTGAATTCTAATATAACTCAACGTCGTTTTACCAAGTGTCCATCTACGCCAGGCCCTGAAGACTGGTAGCTTGGAAGGCAGTAGAGAAGCTAGAAAAGTTTTCCATCAGAGACAGAAAGAAGAATGAATACAGTTTATCAAGTGACAGCTATGAGGTCTGAGCATGTTTAAAGGCACGAGTGTATGAAATAGCACAGTGGACAAGACAAAAATTTACGTTACATCTTTTGTGTGGTCAGGAAGGAAGGGAAAATTAGATGGCCACAAAAGCAAGAAAAGAGCAAACTTGAGGGCTGCCTCAGACCTGAAGCTTGATCCTGCATGACTGGGTTCTATTCACTGCAGTTTTAAACATCATATATAAACTACATAGTGAAAAGGCTGGCTTGTTGCAGTCATGGAGAGGAGTTTCTATTTATTTACTTATTTACTTGGTTTTCTGAGACAGGATCTTGCTATGTAGCCCAAGCTGGCCTCAAACTCATGATCCTTATGCCTCAAAATCCAGAGTGGTAAAACCTAGATAAAGGTGACTTTATTTTTTATCTTTTCTGGCCAACATGCCAAGTAATTCCAATTAATGGGTATGAAGTTGGGAGCCCCCAAAATCTATTTTTGGAAATGCTTTCCAGGTTTTCAGTTTAACATGGCACATTTGCCTGCCCACAAGTCCTTCTGAAGTGAGAGTAAAGCAGAGAATAAATGCATTGCCCCCAATACTGAGAAAAACAGAAAAACTGCAAGGGGACTAGAGTTCATCGTCTTCTTAAGAAAAAGACCACAGCAACTATGAAAGGCATGATTTCTCAAAGAGCTACGGAAAAGGTTCCAAAACTGATGCAAGCAGGAGTTTAATGAATAATGTGACCTCCCTTCCAACCAAAAGGTGACCTGAGGACTGCCTTGGGAAGAGTTGAACCCTCTACTTCCAACTCATGAAGAATAACTGGTATTCTTGCTTATTTTTTTTTTCAGTAGATTTTATTTGTTAAAGCAGATGTAAGTCTACACTCAAACTGAGCAGGAGGCATCAAACTGCTCCTGTGTGCATCCTGCTAATGTGTACACACGGTCTCCACAGCGACACCCAGCATCTGCATGGCTCATCAGTTATAATCAATAAACCTACACCGGGATGTCAATATCACCCACAGCCCACAGTCACGCTTTGGGTTGAGCTTTCTGTGGGGTTGGATGTGTACCCACCGTTACAGTACCGTACAGTGAATTTTCACTGCCCTACCTACACAGTCCCTGTGTTCCTGGAGTTGATCCCTTCCTCCCCTCTAATCCACGGTACACCCCGGCTTTTAACTGTGTTACGTATAGATGTCCTTTGAAAGAAAAACATTAAAGAAATCTAAGAGACACTGTTTCTAGTAGGGTTCACTTCTCCCCAGCTGGGAAAATGAGATCAGCATAGGAAGAGAAGGCCTCCTCAGGTTAGGAAGCTGAGAGTGAGAGTGATTTCAATTCTCTACAAATATCTCCAATGCTCAGGCCTCAGGACGAACCCAGAGGAAGCACTGAGGGAAATGGGAAGAGAATTACAGCTCATTTCACACCTGTTGTGGCGTTTCCACAGGGCAACTAATAATACACATGAGGTACAAAGATAGGCAAAAGGGAGAAAATGAAAATAGCAATATTAAAATTTTAGTTTTTAAGAAAAAAAGATTGTAAATTTGGGACACAAAAGTTATTCGAGATTTTTTTTTCCTTTCCAGAAAAAAATTCCCATTGGCCTTAAAGAAAATGAGCCTGTAAACTGGGCTCTAGGCCTGTGCCTTGCAGCTGTACATTGGGCTTCCTTGTACTAACTGTACCCTCAGGAAGCTCACTACTAAGAGGACAGCATACCCCAGCTTCAAAACATGTAAATAGTTTGCACTTTCACCCATCAACGAGCAAACCCAGCAGATACTAGGCAGAGTATACATCCTAGATCAGTCCTCTTAGGGATGGCTTCCACGGAAATGCACCTAGCCCTAGACTGTGATGTGGGTCTCTCTTGAGCTCATGCAGTATTTCCTTCAGTGTGGACTTTCGAAATTCTGCCTTATAAATCCCTTTCTGCTTCTTACTGACTAGTTCTGAAAATTTGTTTTCCGTCACGAGAGTTGCAAATTTACTCTTCATGTAGGGTGGGGTTAGATCCTCCGTCTGCATTTGAGGAACCAATTTGGACTTTACAGTCATTTTTATTAACTTACTAGAATGACACAGGAATTCTGACATAGTACTTTAAAACAACCAGCCATTTCTCAGCTTGTACCATTTTTTTTCTGCTGCTTTAAACTGTCAGCAGAAACCCAGCTTTTGCTTTAAATCTTCTCTCTCAGAAAAGGAGGCATTCATAGACAAAGTGGCAGGAAAAAATGAGCCCAAATTCCCATTTGTGGCTTTCTTTTATTATCTTCATTTATCCCCTGGAGAAGGAAACAGGCTGAATTGGTGCATCAGGCTGTGGTCCAAGAGGGAGAGTGGCCAGGGGTCCTAAAGTCGGTGTCCTAAGGAGATCCAAGCTGCAGAGCTGTAGCGCGAGGCCCTGGATCGAAAGAACCCAGACAAGGTAAGTTTTGGAAATTAACGTGAAATAGTCCTAAGACTCTGTTCCTCACTAAGGGTAATGACATTACCAGGAATGTTTTCGGGGCTCTGTCCAAATGGGCTTTAACACACCCATCCCAGAAAAAGGAACTGGACGGGGCAGAAGGGTGGCTGTCTGAACTAGGCAGACGTAACATGCATGATGCAAAGATATCAGGAAGCAAGGCACGGGTCTCTCTGCCTCTGCATGTGGCTGCTCCTCGTGTCCAGCAGTCTGGGAACATAGGCCTACACCAGACTCTCTCATGGATTTGAATCTGGGAAATTGTCCCAGCTTTGGACAGAATAAATTAGAAAAAAAAGGGGGGGCGCAGTTCGAAAGTGCTACAATTTCAGGTGGAGAAAAGAATGAAAGCTTATATTGTAGCACTGAGAAACTACTTTCTTGGGAAGAAGTCTAAATTTTGATTGAAAATCACAAGTCTTCAATGCACTTATGTGTAATGTTCTTTGCTGTACAGTGAGGTTTTGGGGCCTCCTGTCACACGGTGAATCCTGTGACCTTTAGGCCCTGTCTCTCCCACGTTCACACCAGATCACTTACTGCTCACTTTGTATCAACCTTGCACACATGTATTGGAAATAAGGCTGCCTTGAGTGTGTGCGGGGAAGCTGGGGAAGGGGAGTGGAATTCTCCCCTTCTGTGCGTCTCTGGTGAATTTGATTCTGGCAGGTTCTGACCTCTTTTCTAGCTTTTTGAATGCAATCAGTCTCCTGCTCACAAACTTGGCTTTGTTTGTCATTGAATAAACACTTTTCATCTGGAGGCTACATAGGAAATCAAAAGAGCTCCAAACCCAGGACAGACCGGTACAGCACAAGGTTTGCACAGTCTCCACCCCCTACCCTCACCCTGCTCTCCCGCCTCCTTTCACAATGAGCCATTGAAAACGCCAGCAGTCTTGGACCATCCACTAAAGAAAACTGGTTGTTTTAAAGACTCCGTTCTCCATTTTAATCTGAAATGACATTTTATGTAGAGAGCTTTTTTTCTTCACATTTAAATATTCATTTTCTTTTTCTAGTTTGACTCCCCCAAGAGCATTGTGCAAATCCTGCCTTAATAAGCCTTTGCTTTCTAAGCACCAGGCACACAGCTATTAGTTTTAATGTCTGTTTGTAAAAGTCAACCCTAAAATTTAAAATACAATGGAATCTCTCCACATGGTGAGATCACAGTTGTAAAGTGGCCCTTTTATGAATACCGGGGAAATAATAGAATCTTCACTCTTTTTCTGAGGCTGCAGCAGCTGCAGCTGCTGCCTTGGTTACAGCCATGTGGGTTCTCAACAAGCTCTTAATTTGAATGGCCTGTTTATGTTCTGCTTACAGGAGGCAAGCGTAGGTATGATGTCTGCTAACCACGGGAGAGCTGGACGCGATGAATGGCTTTCTTTGCACAGAATGTACTTTATGTGACTAGTTCTCAGTCCACTTATAGCAATAGGGCAAGCGATAAGGGCTGTGTCGCTGTGAAATAAATTGGGTCCAGGACACTCACACCGCCTCCAGTAGAGGCTGATCAGTCAGCTCCATAAATGGATGCCTCCCATGTCACTTCCCACAGTCTGTCTCACGTTTCAGTTTCAGGAAGGCTACTCTTTTATCTTTAATTTCTTAAAGCGTTTGAAAACAACGTTAGGTGGCAACTCAATTCCTAAAAAACAAAGTGTATTTTAAAAATTCTTAATTATGCCCTGCCACTTAAATATGTCACTCATCAATGTTTTTCCAGAATCTCATCTTTTTCCTTTTACTCCACCAATATATTATTAATTTCAAAAAATCTATTTGTCTTATAATTAGCCATGTGTGGTACATTCCATGTTTTATAACTTTGAATCATATCAGAGTATAAGGCCAGAGGTGGTCTTATCAGAAATTACCAGTCTTAGTTTTTACTTTTCAGTTCTTGTGATGAACTAGGAGAACATATGCTTCATAAGGTCATAAAATTGTAAATTCATAATATGCAAAGCAAAATAATCTCAGTCTTAGAAACTAAAGATTAATGTTCAGAAATTGAATGAACTTTCTTGGGAGAGCATATCATGTTCTGATATCTAGTCATGTTTAGTGTTCAGTAAGTACATTCGATAAATCAATGAATGAGTTCATCATTATCTTTGGTAAATTCTTCCAGTAGCAAGCAGGACACCAAGCAATCAAATCCTTGTAGGCACCTGAGGTGCCATTGCCGGAGGATAAAGTTTTCTGCACTCCTCCCCAATAGGCAATCCCAGTACATGGTTTCTTTACTTATAAAAATGCACTGCCCAGATAGCTCTTCAAGGAGCAACTTGTTATGGGATGTGGTCAGTACATGGCCCCCAGCTGCCATCTGCAGGGGTGGCCTAGCTGCCAAGAGCATCAGCATAAGGAGTCTGCCTTCTAGGAGCAGCCTGAATCCCATAACTAAGTGGGGGCTGTTGGGTACAAGGGCTGACCATTTCCACCCAACATGGGCTACTTTCCACGGGACCACCCACTCCAGAGCCCCGAGGCTATGCTGGTCTGCATTACCCTTGTCCTCTGTCCAATCCTCCTTCCCCTCTCCACAGTAGCTCTGTACCCCTAACGAGCATTGTGCTCCTAAACTTATCTAAATATCAACTTCCAGAAAATGACATCAATTTACCAGAGTAGCTAGGTTTTCTACAGGATCTTCCAACTCAGTTTGGGTAGAGTGGAGACAGAAAAGTAGCAGCAATTCTTTCTTTTTCTACAATGGTTTTCATCCTTTTTGTGTTCTTGGCATCCTTTTGAATACTAGCATGTTGGAGATCATGCTTAAGGGACAAAACTGTCATTGGTTAGAATTGTGTTCACTTGATCATCCTTCAGCCCTGGATTGTTCTCTGAGCAGAATTGTCCATTGTCCTGAATACTCCGTAGCAGTGGCTCCAAAAGCCTAAGGCTATGGCTCACTTTACCGCTTGTCCTACCACATGCCTGAATATAGGTTCTGCAAAAAGAAAGAAATAGAAACCGAGGTTTTATCATGTAACAGTTCTATAAAATCACTCTGATATTTTTCATTTTATTCTGTTTATTTTTAATAATGCTAGCTATGACCTACTAAATTCATGACCCACTAGGCTCACGGCATTTTTGTGTGTTTAAAAACCCCTCTATTTTATACGTGTGAAGCAAAATTCATTGCATATTCTGTACACATAAGGTTGGTACCCTCTGGTGTTTCTTATTTTTTCCCAGTAGTGAGTTATAGTAAAAAATAAAAAAAGACTCACATTTTATACCACGACTTATTGTAGGTACACAGATGAACATTTCATGAGACAATACCTTCTTTGTATATGGGAATCTGTTTTATATTTGCATTTTTATTTTACCTTTTAAGTGGTTAAAACTCAACAAATTGAGTTTATGACTCACAGTTTGGAAAACTTCATTAATAATGGAGAATGGCTTCTGACCACTGTTCTATTCCTAACTGTATGTAAGGTTGTCCTCCACACAGACACCAAAACCTGTGGACGCTCCAGTCCTTATCTAAAATGGTGTAGTGTCTGTATTTAACTTACTCACATCTTCCATGTACAGACATTCCTCATTTAACAGCCAGTTGCAGTTCCGCAGCTAGGTAGCTGGTTGAATTGTCCACTGAATGAGAAGTAATATACAGTGCACATACTACAATACTCAGAAGAGAGGAAACTCCTACTTCATGACTGTGCTTTTGTTTGCATAAACCTGAATGCAGCTTTGTAATGTAGAACAGAACATAAAACTACTGTTCTGTAGTGCACTACACAGCACAATCAGCAAAAGCTCTACTGTACTGGGGAAGAGGCCACCATAAGGCTGCACTGTCATCCACATTCCTGCGTCGTAAGTCCCAGTGCAGGTGATGAGTCCAGGAGGTGGGCCGCGAGGCTGAAGAGTCAATGACTAAGCGGGTCATTAAAGGAGGAACATCTGTGCGGTGTGTCTGGCTTACTCAGAAAACCGAACACAATGCCTACACATCATTTCCTTTCGTGGATTCAATACAGAACATGGCATACGGCGATTGGAAGTTTTGCTTTTTGGAACTTTCGGGAACTTTTTTCTTTTAAAATATTTTCAGTCTACAGGTGGCCGCATCTGCAGATGGAGACCTTGTGGACACAGAGGACCAGTGATCTGTCATTTGTAACTAAAGCGTCACATATACACAGATCGAAATGTGTCACCTTGCCTGTGAAAGGCCAGCCATGGCTCTAGCACGGAAAAGGGGAAAGGCAGGGAAGTGCACAGCAAATACTAGACATGGTAGCCATGGCGGCACTGCACACGGGACACACACAAAGCTTGAGGTTGGCACCGAACGTTAATGTACTGCACACATGGTTGTTTCAAGATGTGGTCACTACTTTTGTAGTCTCTGTTCTCTGCTTCCTAAAAGCTCTTTTGGATCCCTGTGTTCTACATAAGAGAATGCTTAATGGAAATTCTCTAGACAGCGCTGTTTTTAGAAATATAGTTTACACAAAGTGCAGCAAGAATTTAACCTTCCTATAAAGACTAATTCCCAAACCCATGTTACCACTAGATTCCAGAGTTTAAACAGAGAAATGCTTTTTCTCTATTTTCTCATTACAGGAACCCCCAATTATCTATGTTTCTATAAGTGCTTTTCTAAAAGCATGGTTTCTCACCTGAACCTGGTGTGCAGATTCCCTTATCCTGTCCCTTCCCTGTGCACCAAAGGTGAGAGTAGGAATCCAAGTGCAGAGACAAAGGCTGGTCACCCAAGTATGCATCACTCCAAAAGAAGTTTGAGAGTCAAGGCCCTACACAAGCACAACAGGTATAAACTGGGATTTATAATGCCCTCTGCCTCGGAGAGACAGGCCAGCCCAAGGAACATCCACTGTCCACAGGAGTAAGTCTGAGATTGCAAACTGGGGAAGCAAAGGGATGAAATTATTATGTAAAGAAGAGTATTGAGAGAGGTAAATTGTGACCTGTGAGAGCAAAGCTAAGGCCTCCCTGTAAGAATCACACCAAACAAGATAAGTGAGAGAAGAAAGTAACTCCATGAAAAAATAAAGCAGAATATTTCTTCAGGAAATTTCATGATGTTTTCCTCTCTGAAGAGTATTATTTTCCTCTCTTTTCTCCTGAAAGTATCAGTAAAACTGGCATAGTTTGTCAACATTTATGCAGAACTTGGGTGGGATATGAGGAAGTCTTGAGTCCAGGTTCCTGGTAGGAGCAGAGTGAAGGAAACTGCCTCACATGCTGGCCCCAGAGAAGATGACTACTCGTCTCTTCTGTAGGGATAAAAGGCAAACCGAAATCAAAGATGAAATGAGGCAGAAATGCAGTTTACCCACAGCACAGAAAGAAAGAGCTAGAGGAAAACAGCAGGTGTGTACGCATGTTCTTCCTGTCCTTTAGGGATCACCTTTGGGACATTTTTTAATCAAATGTTGATATGGCAGCACCTTTGTTTCTCCACTCCAGCATAAAAATAACTTTAGAAAAGGGAGGAGGGGGACAGGGAGGGAGGAAAGTGGGAGGGAGGGAGGAAGTTGAAGTAAAGGGAAAGAGGAGTAGAGAATCTGTCAGCTGAATTTGTCACCCTAGATTATATTATGGTAAGAATAGGTGCATTAATGCCTCATCTGCTGAGAAAACCCACCAGAGATTTTCAGTGATTCAAAGTGATGATAGGACTCATGTTTCTATTTTCTTTCAGCTGCAGGGAAGGGGCCTTGCTTCTAAGAGAAAAATCAATGACCTCCCTGGCTTGTCTGGTGAACTAGCTCTTTTTTTCTAAGAGCTGAGGATAAAAAAATCACACTTCTGAGCAGCATCCTCAGAGCACACACCTGTGCACTAAAGGGGCTTCTGGATAGGCAATAGCGAGCTCAGCTCAATTCCCACTGCTGTCATTAAATGGCCTTAACAAAATCACTTCTTCTCCTACTGTTGCACTTTCTCCAACCTTAGCACCAGGAAGATTATTCTTTCTCTTTCCTTTCACACATTAAAAATAAAGCATTAGTCCTCTTTCAAGTTAACCCTTTCACATCTTCATGTTGCTCAGATACCTCCTGGCCTGTTTTGTCAAACTTTATCTTGTCAAAACTCCTGGCCCGTTTGTTGTTGCTGTTGTTGTCATTCTCTAGAAATTGTCAGCATTGCCTAATGTTATCTTTTTGTCTGTCTGTGTTTGGTTGGTTGGTTTTGTTTGTTAGTTTTGTTTTGTTTTTGAGACAGGGTCTCACTATGCAAGTCTGGCTGGCCTTGAACTCACTGTGTAGCCCAGGATGGCCTCCAACTCACAAGGACTCGCCTCTTGAGTGCTGGGATTACGGGCTTGCAACACCATGTCCAGCTAATGTTATTTCACCCCTTGTTGGTTCCTTTTCTTCCTACCCCAAACTATGGCTATCCCCCAAAGCTTTGTCTCTGACTTCTCATTGTTTAGAATTCTTATTCTGTAGCCTACCATTGCTTTCCCGATCCCCTATAATCAGAATGCCAACAAATTCTTACCTCCAGAATTAAGGCATCAACATTATACATACGACCTGATCTAAAAGCATTTGTATTTGACTATTCCATGGTCACTTTGAAATTAACATGTCTCATACCTAACTCAGGAACGCCACCAAACCACAAATCACCCGTTCCTTCTTCTCCATTTCCACTAATTCCAACATATCTCCTCTTTTAATGACATGAAGTCAGACAGATGACCAAGCCAGGCATGTCTTTAATGCTCCCTGTCTCCTCCACTACCCTAGGCTTTCATTCCTTTTCTCTCTAGTACTAGCTTTTGCTATAAGCTCAGTCAGCCCACATCTGTACCACTACACCTGCCATTTCTAATGGCTTCCAAGCCCTCCTCCAATCTATCCTTCTGTCAAATCAATCTCCCTAAACACTTTCCCTTTACACAGAAAGCCAAATGGAGAAAGAACCTCTGGATTTAGCAAATACGAGGTGATGGTAGCGGTGACTAGCTCTACAGAGAAGAAAGCAGGCTAAATCCTTATGGTGCACAACAAGGAAGACAAAAAGTACAAAACATAATCACTCAGACACACAAACTGGTCCATGGAAAGCAGTGTTTACCTCCATGCTCCTCTCTACCCTCTCTTCTAAATAGACTCTACCTGTACTTTCAAACAACCTAGTAATTGGATCAGGAAAGACTGTAAAATACATATATTTGAAGATAACCTAAATTTTGAGCCAAGAGAACCTATGTCTAATTTGGGGCCAAAAGAAGCATGGTTGTTGAAGAGATTGGTGTCATTAAAAAGAAACCAAGTACTTTGTACAAGAAGAAAGATGCCTTGAGGGCATCTCAGGAATCAGTAAGTCCCCACTCACCGTAAGCTCAATGGCATAAAAACGTCAAGCTTTCCTTTGAGAAGAGAGTCCTGGGCCCCCATTCGAGAAGGGCTGCCTGGGCATTGCCTTTCTGGGAATCACTTCATTCTGATCTGCGTCCAGGTACTCAGCGGCTGTTGCTGCCATGGTCCCAGGGGACCTGACTACTGCAGTCACTAGCAACCTGTGGGTAAATTGTGAGCATTAATCATGATATGTTAATATGACTGGATTTGAAATGCTCAGAGGTTTAGTAAACCATACTTCTGGATAGGTCATGGAGACACTACCTTGGGTGCTTTACATAGCCTGCACCTTTTTCTCCTATTCTGTTTCCTAGTCACCATAAAATGAACAGGTTTCTTCTGCCAAGCCCATTGGACATGATTTTCCTGTGGAGCCAGATGACTATGAATCTCAGGCCCTAAAACCTGAGCCAAATTAAAATTCTTTTCTTTTAAATTGTGGGCAGTGTATATTATGGCTCAGCAACAGGAAAGCTGACCAATACAACAAGTAAGTTTTGAGTTAAAAAAAAAAAATTCTAAAGCCGGACTAGATGAGATCATGAAAGGAGTAATGGCAGAAATGAAAATCAAGGACTAAGCTTGAGAATGCCAGGAAGTCGAGAGATAGTCACTAGAGAACAAGATTAAGAAGAAATGATCAGTGGACTAAGAACAATGAATACATATGATAATTAGAAACACTGGGCTGTGTGATATTGAATGACTAATACCTACATCAAAAACAGAATGAGTAAGTAATGGCAACAGCAACAAATGAAACAATTACATGATGTTCAATAGATGTATTACATTTAATCATCACATAAAGAAAGAAAAATGCACTGTGAAAGATGTGGTCATGGTTTTATCTGAAAGGCAATGACCCGAAGGCAGTGGCAACCATTTAATAACTCATGAAGAGAAACATCACCTGCCTTTTTAAGCAGAATGAAAATAAAATCATAAAAGATTTAATTATCTACCTAGAAGTAAGATTAAATATTTAAATGAATATTTTTTCTCAGAAGAAATCTACTTGCTTCTTAAGGAACTCTAAATGTCATTTTTTTCCCCGCTTAGGCAAATGTGTCTTTAAACCCCCATTGTATGTGATTGTGATAGTCTGCCCTGTGATACACTCTGCTCTAACTCTAACACCTCTTTGCTAAGCTTTCCTCCTTTCTTTAGCACTAATAAAGGGTAACAAAGTGCTGGAAATAAGTGATTAAGAGCAACTCCCTGCTTTGTTCCTTACTTCATAGATGATAAAGAAATATCTTCTTATGTCAGTAACTTTGACAGTATGGGCCAGATCCCAGCAAATTTACTCTGCCAAAAATCACACGGTAATCTACAGGTGAGAGAGTCAACAGGCAACTACCTTAACTCTCGTGTTGGAGCCCCAGAGCAGTCACATACCTGTCAACAAAAAGAGAATGGCAGGGTTCAAATAAAATGTTATATACAAAAGCAGGCCACACATCAAATCTGGCTGCGGTTCTACAGTTGTTGACCCTTTGAAAAGTCAGTGTATTCTGTGAACATTTAATATGATTGTTAATCACCTATCCATCCTCAAGGAGCAATCTTGGTAGCATAAAACACTTTGATGTCATGAGCACCAAACAACAGGGAAAAGGGATGCCACGACCACTCCAGTAGAGTCTGCGTGACAATGCCGGTCACCTGGCAGAAACCAGACCAGAGGTATCGTCCCCACGGGGTTAAGCCTCCTGGAAGTCCTTGGCACACACCGCATGCAAAGTCAGCCATGAAGAGAATAGCTGGCCTCTCTGCCTGCAGTTTGGGGACATTGGGTTCATCTATAATTCTGTTCTATTTTGTCTTTATTACTATTTGTTCATTATCTGTAGAATTGCATTCTGGGCCCAGGAAAGATCAGGAACAATTAGATGTTCCTAGAGATGGGGAGGTGTTGGGGCACAAGAGGACGGGCGGCCAAAGTGCTGACCCTGAGCCCCGGACTGTGAAGTCCTGAAGGTGAACCTGAAGGTGACATGCTGAAGCCAGTCCTTTGTTTTACAAACTTCCCCTTCTGACTGCGTATAGGTGTGGTCTTACCTTGACTTAATGGTCTTAGCTTTTGTGATGGTATATAGGTGTGGTCTTACCTTGACCTTGTGGCCTTAGTTTTTACAGTACTATTGTCTATCTTTCTCATGCCTGCCTGTGACTGGAATCACTCTTGAGGTGTGCCCTTGAAACTAGTATATAAACACCTGGAGTTAGAAATAAAATTGCAGCAGCATTGGCAAACTTCACCTCGGTGTTGAGTGCTTTTGTCTGACTGTCATCGCCGAACCTGCTCCCACCTTTCAGAGAACCTGTATCTCTTCGTGAAATCCCGTGTTAGCTGCCCTACGGTCGGTAGCAAAGGGAGATGAGCATTGTGTTGCTGCTGCTGTTCAAGATGTTTCTTAATAGAGATCAGCCATATTTGAATGTTAAATAAAGCATTTGTACTGAGAAGGGTTTACGGACCCAGTAAATTACTCCATACCCCAGTGTTCCTATGAATGTAGGACTATATAGCAGTAAAACATGAAATCATATTACCTGCTATGTAGCACTAGAACCTCTTTTTCAACTACATGGGCATCTCTTTTACATACAATAGATTTT